TGATGTTACCCAGTTGGGTCATGAAACGTCTGCAAGAAAGCCACCAAACCTCAGAGAGCAACAAAGACCCCACAGTTCAATCCTAAACTACAAATATTCCCTTCTACTGGTGTTAGAAATTCTACACGGACTCTACTCTTACTCAAGAAAAGCCAAACCATGGTGCCTAATGCAACGAGAAGGAACGAATAAATAGGATACAATAAAAAGAAAACAGGGTGACATCTCACCAACTTCCCTCGCCCTCAAGTAAACTTAGAATCTCTGCCCATCGGGGCTTGTTCAGTAATTTCACGCTACAGCTCCCAAAAATGTAAGGGGCGGGGGGCTTGGTGTAAAACCGCCACTTCCCAAAATGTCAGTTGTTTGTGAACAAACCTGGCTAAGCCCAAAATTGCTTTTAATGTCAGAGCTTGCTGTCTGCCAGCACTGTGGTCCTTAAAAGCTCTCATCAGAATTTCCATGAGAAACTGCTGTGTTTTGAAGGCCACGTTGTGGGTTAAAAACCTGGATAACCAGGTCACAGCGTAGATGTGGGCCATTGCCTAAAGCTGCCAAAAGTATTGATGGCTTAGATTGTAGCTTAAAAGCAAGAAAAGTGCGTAGACACTTCGAACTCAGAATCTCTTCAAAATTAAGCAGCGAGATACGCTTTCCTTCCATGATTGAGTCCCCCAATGATCGGAGCATTAAGATCTTCTCTGCACCCCTCAGGGCAAATTCTAAATGGCCTGTGCTAGCTGAAGTTCTGGAAAAAATCTTCTTTTAAATGGTGCAAAAAGAGAACATGCCTAGTATGATTTGACTGCTTATTTGTACCCTGTGACTATCATTAGGTGTTGTACCTTATGATTCTTGACTCTTGACAAATGTATCTTTTCTTTTATGTACACTGAGAGCATTTGCACCAAGACAAATTCCTTGTGTGTCCAATCACACTTGGCCAATAAAGAATTCTTTCTTTCTTTCTTTCTTTCTTTCTTTCTTTCTTTCTTTCTTTC